GGGGGTCCTAGGCTTCCCCCCTCTAGGTGGCCTTTGGTCATCCCTTTCCTTTAGGGCAACTGCCAGGAAGTTGACCTTTCTCTTCATTCATTTTTTAGCCTCCCTTTTGGCCTGAATGTCTCTGTTCATGTATACTATGTTGGCAATTTCAATCGGCTAGGTGAAGTTCATTCCAGGAAAGCCTTCAAGTTTCTGGAGCTTCCATCTGATACCCAGGGCAGCTTGGGCCATGAATGAGGTATTGACTATCTGTTGGCTCTCTTGTGACTCAGGGTTGAAAGGGGTATAGATACAATAAGCTTCACACAGCCTCTCGTAATAGTCCCCAGGAGACTCTCCTGATTGTTGAATGACTGCAGATATTTTAGTCATGTTCATGGGCCTTTTGGACCCTGCTTTGATCTCTTGGAGGAGGGCTTCCTGATATTGGCAGATCTGATGCTGTTCCTCAATCATGGTGAAATCCCACCCAGGGCACTCCTCAGGGACAGCAATTTCAACCCATGCACCCTGATCAGGGACCCCAGCTGGCATGTGTTCTTCCAGGTACTGGCGGGCCCCTCTGATAATCTGCCTTCTTTCTTCCATATTGAATAGGGTGCCGAGAAGCTGTTGGCAGTCTTCCCAGGTCGGCCAATGGGTTTGGAAGAGGGATTCCATGAGATCAACCAGGGCTTGTGGCTTCTCCGAGTATGATGGGCTGTTGTGCTTCCAATTGAGGAGATCAGTCATGGAGAAGGGTTTATAATAAAAGCATGGACCGGCTGGTCTGGATGGTCCCATCTTCATCACACCCCTCGGACTCCTGCGTATCTTGTACCGGCATCTGAAGGGTGCCTGCTCCTAGTCGAGGGTGCAGTCTGGCTGCTGGTCTGGGAGAGAGTGAGTCTGCCAGACCTGGAGGTAGCAGGGAGACTGATGGTGGAAGAGTGTCCAGGGGCTGGGTGCTGACAGCCTTGGGGGCACATAAGGTGGGGGCAATAGTGGTTCTTCCTCTGGATCACCGGCAAGTATTTGCAGAGGCTCAGGCTTCTGTTGGTCTTTTGTAGGTCGCTTTGTTGAGGTAACTAAGACCCTACCTTGTCCCTACCTGTTGCAAGCAGATCGCACCCAAGGGGGAAGGGTATGGGTAACTCCTAACCAGGAGTCAATATATGGGAACCTGTCAGGGTGACCTGGATCTCCAGTGATGACCCTCCAGACTCGGCAAACTGTTAGGACATCTAGGGTTCCTTCCAGAGGCCGTCTTACACTGAAGGTGCGCCAGTTGGATTCATGCAGCGTTTTCAACTTGCCAGGGGTCATTTTTACTCCGTAGTACCCCGGAAATCCCTTCCTGAAATTTTTGATCATGGTTTCAAGAACTGTGGGTTTGCTGTGTCCTGACCCCATGACGTGTCTGTGAGATGGTGCCGCAAAGACAGACAAGGGAGGAGATGCCTCCTTCAGAGAGGAGACGAATCAGATGCCTGTCCATTCACTCTCCTCTTGGAGAATTTGGTCAGGCTTGATTAAGGTACACCCGTATAAATCCCAGGCCAGGTCAGCCGAAGCTGAGTCACCGTTATGTCATGGCAGCCAATCGCAAATATGGCAAAGGACCCACTTGGATTCTGTAGTGCAAGCCATGGAATCACAGACTTAGTGCAAACTGAATGATTTCATTCACTCTGCAAAATCACTCACACACTTCAACCAGATTCTAAACATTCCCTCCCTGGGAATCCCTACCTGTGAGACCTCTAAAAGGTCTCCAGGAGGTGATCGCACTCCGCTTCCACCCCGATGGGTGGGTCTGACTGGGTCAGGGGCCCCAGGCCTTACCGTAATCTGGCATCAGAACCAGGTCCTCACCTGCCTAGTCTCCTTGAGTCTGGCGAGAATAGCAGAGCACAGCCAGTCCAAGGTGACTGGACGGGAGACTGCCGAAAGATTAGGCAGGGGGTGCTTTCTCCGTTATGATCCCCTGTTCCATCATCACCCCGCCATTGCCCCAAACCTGTGGCAACAATGGGCCAGCATGGTTGGGTTTCTCATTCAGGGAACCAAATGTTATGGAACCTGGACTGGATCACCCGATGCAAGAACCAAGCAGTACTTGGAGGTCTTGGAGGGTGGGTGGTTTATTTCACAGTGTGGGCTCAGGAGAGCGATCTCCAAAGGTCTGAACCCCGAGCACAGGCAAGGGGAACAATTTATACTTTTATACTAACATATATGTGGCATTTTGGCGTATGCACCAAGCAGGATGGAAGAAGAACCTGGAAGGGTCCCAAGGTGGTGGTGGGGTGGTTGGGGCGAGGGGATGGCTCTGAGATTCTCCTGTTGTTATTCCTATCGGCCATGTTGAAAAATGTTATTTTCCTTACCAATAATAGTATCGATCCTTTATAACCTTTACAATTACATAACCACTTGGTTTCACATAGAGTATCTCATTGGGTCTCCATACCAACTCTGCGAGGAAGATGGAACAGATTGTATTGCCCTATTTTGTAAATTAAGGACAAATTGTATTATGCCATTTTCTAAGTAAGGAAATTAAAATACAGAAATTCTGAGTGATTTTGCCCATAATCATTGTGCGATTAATTTAGCCAGCCTGGAACCTCAGCCTTCTGAATTCACATCTTTTATGTAAGTTTGGTTTTGAGTCCCAGCACACATTTACTTTAGCCTTAACTTGTTGAAATCTTCTCTAAGTAACTATTGTCCCTTCCAAGGGTCCCCCAGTCCTATAGAGACAGCCTGGTGGAGATATAACCCCATCTTTACTCACTTGTATTCCTTTTCCTGTGCGTGTTCCTATGTACATCTCTTGTCTCCCCAGCTGGTGTATATGTTCCCTTAGAGTAGAGTGCCTTGTATTTAATCAATACTGAGCCCATAGTAACTCAGAAATTCCTTACCCTTTAATTTCTTCTGTGTATTTTAATTAGTAGGATCTGAAATAAAGTGATTCAGAGGCCCACTTGTCAGCTGTAGACTAAGGAAAAAGTGCTGGCCACTCTCCTCTTATCTTCAGGAATTACTAGCAGCTGTGGGGGAGGTTAATATTGATAACTGTGGGGATAAGCCCATTGAGGAGCTAGCCCATTTATGCCACCATGTGCTTTTTAGTGAGTGCTTTCCTCCAGCCCCTCCTAAAATATGCACTCTTTTAATTTACACATGACTGGGCTGTATGCAGAGGTAGTCACAGTAGAAGTCAATCACTTTTTCTCTTCTCCAAGTCTTAAAAATAACAATCATTGAAATCATAACAGCTCTTCTGCCTACTTCAGAATAGTTTCAAAGCCAGCTTTTACTTACTTTATATTTAAGCCTTTTAAAAGTCCATTGAGGTAGTTAGGGCAGGGATAACTCACCTAAATTAATGAAAGGAAACTCTGACTTAGAATAGAGAAATGATTCTCCCAAGATCAGAAGGCTAGGTAGAACTTGAATCAAAATTTTTCTGGTTTCTTGTCCAGGTCTCTTTCCATTGCATTACAGTGCTTCTGATTGTCAACAACATTTACCATCATTACTATTTCATTACCAGAGGATTTCAGGGTTGGGGAGGAGGACTCTTTTCAAATGAAAAATTTTGTGAAGGTAATATGGCTTGAAATTTAGCCAGTGCTTCTTAACCAGTTTAGCTTTGCTTTTAAATATACTGAAATGAAATATTAAGCTAGTTCTAACAATTATGTTAATAATTTGTGATTGAATAGAATGACAGAATCACTGCAATTTTTTTAAAATTAATCAGGTTTTCTAGCATTTGTACAGTGCCAGAACATCTCTATGCAAGAACGAAAACCTCTTGCTAGATTAAAAGAAAAATAATCAAACATGATTTTTATCAGTATAATTGATAGGACAGCACACACTTGTGTGATTAAAAATACCTAGATATTTATGTGACTTTTGCATTTTCCATTCCAGTATTTATCTTCAGATAATCAGTCTGATTATAGCATATATTTGAATTACAGTTATGACCAACTCACTGTTGTGTCTTTGGCTGGTCCCTATGAATTTAAATTTACAGACATTTGGGTTTCCTCATATATCACTGTAATTCACATCTCCCTGAAATTTACCAGAGGATGTTTTCAGTGTGCTAGTGGATACCCTATTTTATCTCTAATAATAATAAAACAAACTTCACTGTATATCATTGTTAACATTAACATTAAGTACACATATATGTCATTTCATGAACACCAAAGAACACCACCTGTTTTTGAATATTTAACAATTTTTAATACTTCTGTGTAGACAAAAGTGACATGCACTCATATTTGCTTATATTTGCCCAGATTTAACTTAAGCCTTAAAATTGTTATTGAATATCTGACCCAGTATAAATTTCAAGAGAAGTAAATATATATTGTATTAATTGGCTAAACTAGACAGGTTCTTTGGGTAATGTTTTAGATCATAATGGTAATAAAAACTGTAAACTGAATGTGTGCCAGGGACTGTGCTTCATGCTTTATATACATTATAGATCCATATCTATAATAATGATCTAAAATTGTGGCTTAATATTGATTAAAACATAAGTGACATTGTTATCACGTGTAGAAACTTTTTTTTAAATGCCTTCAGTGAACACTATTCCAGGTACTCTCCAAAAAATTGGGAGAGTAAAATGTATTTATAGAATACACCCCAGGGAATTAGGAAACCAAGATATTATTCTACTAAACAAAAGTTAAAAGACATGCCTGGAGCAGGAAGGAAATGTATATGATTAGCTTTATTTTCAGTTTGATACATTTTCCTGGAGCCCCAGTCTACTGTCTAAATGAAAAATAGCCTTGGTTATAACATTCCATGTGTGAAAAAATTTGAAATTTTCAAAGCCTTCCTAGTAATATAATAACTAGGCCACTAGAGTGACCTTTCTAATCTAGCTTCAGAAATAATAGAAAATATCCCCAATGTGAAATCCTTTTGTGAAACATTGTCTCATTTTGTTTACAAATGATGAGTTCTACTTTTTGCAGATGTGTCTTGCTGAGTCAGGGCTCTCTTATCCTTGCCACCGACTTACAGTGGGAAGAAGATCTTCACCTGCACAAACCCGGGAGCAGTCTGAAGAGGTAAGCCTATTTGCCAGCTTTCCATTGAACACAGGCCTATCCTCCACCCTCCTGCCCACTTCCTATTCTTTTTTATCTGCCACAACAATGAATAAAGTTAATGTAGCATGAATAAAGTCTCACTAAATTCTTGAAGGTAGAAACTTCCCATGAAAGGTTATTGCTAATGTGCTTCTTCTTGTTCTAAAGTTTCATGTTTCAGCAGACAGAATTTGGGTGGATTGGTTGAAGTGATTTTTACTTAGAATTGCCACATTAACAAAGGGATTTTCTTTGCCGCTGACAAATAGTTGAGTGTATTTATTAGGATTGAAACTGAAGGTCCTTTAACTCATCGACTTGGAGCACCTTCTCTGCACCAGGCATTGTGCTTGATGCTAGGTAATAAAGATGAGTAACTGCATACCTTTACCAAGGTGCTCAGAGTCAAATAATAATAGCATAACATAATAAATGTGGTGATAGGGTGCATAAAGGTGCTTTAGAAATAGAGAAGAGGGGCAGATAAAATTGAACATGTTTGTGTACATGACGTGCTTGTGTGTGTCTTTGTTGGTCTAACTAATGTTAAAAGGCATTATCTTTTCCATGGTTAGAAATAGCACACTGTGTCCAACTATGATTTTGGGTGTAAGTGAATGAGAAAGAGAACCTGGACATTATAATTTATATGTTTAAAAAATATTTATTGTGTTCCTACCATGTTCTGGAAGAGTCATCACCATGACCTTAAAAAGTATATGCAACAGAGGTCAAAACTAAATAGCACAGAAGAATTTTACACCAGTGTTTTCCAGGGTAGAGCATGATCCACGTATTTAAAAGTTCGGCTAGTCCAGTAAAACTTATGCATTTACATTCTGTACAAAATATGGTTGCAGATTTTTATTTAAACTGACTACATATTTTGAACACCCATTACAGAAGTTGCCATAGGACCTCTCCAGCCATCCTCCTAATATGTATTTATATCACTTAAATATGTCAAAGAAAAATGGGACTGCATAAGTGAAGTTCTAGTCTATGATCATCCTGTGAGAAGGATAATTTGTCACTTTGTTTTTCAACTTTTTTTTAGAAATCCACTAAGAAGGAAAGTTTTTCCCCTGCTACAAATACTACTATACTGTTTCTTGGACATCTAAAAATGTTAATTTCCTTTAAAGAGACCACACCATTTTTTCTAGCACTTTTTCACACTAAGCCCCATGAAAGAAAAAAATGATATTGAGCTTCAGTTGTTGGCAGAAATTGCCAGAAATAATTTATTGAAATATTCTTTCTAATGCTTGAGTGTTTTTATTAGCTAAAGTAGGTTATGCTTCAACTTCTAAAGTGGCTAAATCCACAAACATTAAAAAGGGGCACTTAGCTCTACCCAGAATTGTTAATTATTCTGTGCTCTGAGAGGTGACAGATAACCTGTTTCACTTCATTTTATTTCTTTGTCTCACCCTCTCCATTATATGTGTTGTTTGAGTGGTGCCTTCAGGAGGAAGAAGTCAGTGTCATGCATTGAGTAGTAGTGTGTAAGGCTGGCACACTTTTTAGGTTAATTAGAAAAGAAGGTGGAGTGGAGTGAAGAGGCTTTGCCAAACTTAAACAGCCACAGCCTTGGGAATATCTTAAAATCTGATTATCTGGGATGAAACCATTATTTTTCCTTCCCTGGCTGACTGTAAATACCACCTCTTCTAGAGGGCTGGTGAAAAATGGGAAAGAAGCTATGACTCAATTTTTATGTTGTCTTAGAATTATACAACTGGAAGGGATTTTTCATTTGATGTCTATTCTTCCATCTATTCATTCCTCATTCATTTGAACATTTATTTAATGTCTTCTAGGTACCAAATGTTAGGACCATAGTCTATGCTGAAAGAGCTCACTCAAAATATACCTGTGTTTTAACTGCAGTGAAAAGGTTCTGCCTTTATGAGGCAACCAGTTTCATTGTTAAGCAGCTCTGTCTGTTAATGTATTAAACTAGGACCTACATTCATGTAGCTTCCACACAGTAGTTCTGCTTCCTTCTTCTGGTTTTAACGTTTCTTCTACGTGGTTTCAGGTATTCCAAGACAGTTATCATTTTGCTATCAACTGTCTTAAGCCTTGATTTGGGAAGGAGATATTTGAGACCAGTAGTTAAATTCAAATTTTAAATCTTATGGGTTATAGTTATGTGTCCTGAGCTGGGGAAATTTTGTTTATCACATCCCCTTCTGGCCCTGCAAGTACATTGCATTTACATTCTGTACAAAATATGGTTGCAGATTTTTATTTAAACTGACTACATATTTTGAACACCCATTACAGAAGTTGCCATAGGACCTCTCCAGCCATCCTCCTAATATGTATTTATATCACTTAAATATGTCAAAGAAAAATGGGACTGCATAAGTGAAGTTCTAGTCTATGATCATCCTGTGAGAAGGATAATTTGTCACTTTGTTTTTCAACTTTTTTTTAGAAATCCACTAAGAAGGAAAGTTTTTCCCCTGCTACAAATACTACTATACTGTTTCTTGGACATCTAAAAATGTTAATTTCCTTTAAAGAGACCACACCATTTTTTCTAGCACTTTTTCACACTAAGCCCCATGAAAGAAAAAAATGATATTGAGCTTCAGTTGTTGGCAGAAATTGCCAGAAATAATTTATTGAAATATTCTTTCTAATGCTTGAGTGTTTTTATTAGCTAAAGTAGGTTATGCTTCAACTTCTAAAGTGGCTAAATCCACAAACATTAAAAAGGGGCACTTAGCTCTACCCAGAATTGTTAATTATTCTGTGCTCTGAGAGGTGACAGATAACCTGTTTCACTTCATTTTATTTCTTTGTCTCACCCTCTCCATTATATGTGTTGTTTGAGTGGTGCCTTCAGGAGGAAGAAGTCAGTGTCATGCATTGAGTAGTAGTGTGTAAGGCTGGCACACTTTTTAGGTTAATTAGAAAAGAAGGTGGAGTGGAGTGAAGAGGCTTTGCCAAACTTAAACAGCCACAGCCTTGGGAATATCTTAAAATCTGATTATCTGGGATGAAACCATTATTTTTCCTTCCCTGGCTGACTGTAAATACCACCTCTTCTAGAGGGCTGGTGAAAAATGGGAAAGAAGCTATGACTCAATTTTTATGTTGTCTTAGAATTATACAACTGGAAGGGATTTTTCATTTGATGTCTATTCTTCCATCTATTCATTCCTCATTCATTTGAACATTTATTTAATGTCTTCTAGGTACCAAATGTTAGGACCATAGTCTATGCTGAAAGAGCTCACTCAAAATATACCTGTGTTTTAACTGCAGTGAAAAGGTTCTGCCTTTATGAGGCAACCAGTTTCATTGTTAAGCAGCTCTGTCTGTTAATGTATTAAACTAGGACCTACATTCATGTAGCTTCCACACAGTAGTTCTGCTTCCTTCTTCTGGTTTTAACGTTTCTTCTACGTGGTTTCAGGTATTCCAAGACAGTTATCATTTTGCTATCAACTGTCTTAAGCCTTGATTTGGGAAGGAGATATTTGAGACCAGTAGTTAAATTCAAATTTTAAATCTTATGGGTTATAGTTATGTGTCCTGAGCTGGGGAAATTTTGTTTATCACATCCCCTTCTGGCCCTGCAAGTACATTTTCCTTATGATAATTCAAAATTTTCTATTTCCTTCCCATCTTCCCTTTCCTTCTGAGCCACCTTTTAATGATCTTCCCATATCTCTGGGTACCTAGCTAAGTACCTATCTCTTCTCTTTCCAGCTATTTGGGTGGGACAGTGTAGGGATACCTTGGACCCAGTCTTCTTGGGAACTTTCCAATCCTCAGTTCACAACAGAGGAGGAACAATACCCCAAGAATAACAAAAAAAAAGTTCAAATATAGTTAATTTTACAGCTGTTAATTTGTAACTTCAGTTAAGGAAACATCTATTGATTGCTCACTATGTGCTAATCAGATGAATATAAACTGATAATTTGTTGTTATACAGTTAACAAGAAAATTGAAGCAAGCACAAGATACTAGGAGAGCACAAACATGAAGGGGAGGGGAGCATGTAATCTTAGAGAATGTTTGTAGGCAAAAGCCTTGTCTGCCTTAAGCACCTTTGTAGCCCTAACACCTAATACAATATAGGGCCTGGCACATACCAGCCACAGAATTAGTATTTGTAAATGAATTTTTTAAAAGAAGATAGTCTTAGAAGTGTTCACATCCAAATTGACAAATATGTGCAAAATAAAGTGGGAAACAAAGGTAAGAGATAAGGCAAGTTGAGAACTTGAAATTTTTTGTCAAGTTGGAAAGTTCAACTCTGGGGAACCATAGAAGGCTTTTAAGGTAAGATTACAATACCTACCTACTACCTACTCTGTAGGTAGGTACTGGTCTTAGTGCTGGGAATATGATTTTTCCCCCCAAAATATGCATTTTAGAGAAGAGCAACTTCAGCTGCTATGCACAAGCTAGGTATAAGAGAAAGCTGGAGACAGAGAAATCAGATATTAATCTATTGTACTATTACAGGCAAAAGATAAGATCCTGAACTGGAACATTATTAGTAAAAAGAAAGAAGGATATAAATTCAGGAAATATTTTGGAGGGAAAGTCAATAGGATGCTTGAGTGATAGGATCTGTGGGACAAGAGAAGAAAGAATTAAAAATGATACCAAGATTTGGCTTAGGTGACAGAAAAGATTTATTCAGTATTCATTCAATAAATTCTGATTACAATACCTACCAACTCTGTGTCTGGTACTGGTCTAAGTGCTGGGAATATGGCTATGAATAAAGCAAAGTCTTCCCATAATGGAGCTTGTACCTAACAAAATAAAATTGAATGCAGATAAGTACCAGAAATCTGTATTTTTGTTTTTAAAACTTGATAATACAAGTATTTAGCTTGTTTGCCTGTGGTGCAATGCTACATACTATTAGCTCCTTCCAACATAATGTGACATTGCCCCACAAACAGGCAAGCTAAATAGAAATCCAGTTCCTTCTAAATATC